ATGTTACTGAGCTCTCCTCTTGTGTTCATGAGACTTGTGTGTGCATCACGATCCTTCGAGTTGGCCTGCTGTAACACCCAGTTGGCAAATGCTGTCCTGTCCTGCTCGCTGGCATCTTTGGGGAAGCCCTCGATTGTCAAGGACAAGGATGCGTTTCTGGCGTCTTCCTGTAGCTTCTTCTGTAGCAAGTGCGCATTGATACGCGCATGGGACTCGATGTCGTACGTGTTGTCCTGAACCTGCTGCTGCATCTCATGTAAACGCTTGTTTGTTGCATCCTGCTCCTCACGCTGGCGCTTCCTAATCTTCCTCATTTCCTTTTGGAAACACATTCGTACATGAATTCCCTCTTCACGGATCTAGACGAAGCGCAAGGTGGAAATCACTTTTGGTAAAATATGGCCCAATCCAGCCTTAATATCCGGACTCTCACACATCTTTTAGAAACCGACATCTCCGTTCTCCACGGAAGGACCAGACTAATGATACATTGAGCCATATTCCTTCAGCGCCCCTGGAAACACTCACCAAAGCTAAACCCTACCTCAAATAGTCCCTTTAACCATTACATCACCCCAGTTCCTATTTCATCTTCCATTGTCTTTTCCATCTGATTCTGGAAGACGGGGGTGATATCACATGAAGGAAAACCAGTTGACTGCACATACTGCGGCTCAGATCTAGTGCCTTAGGCTGAATCGCGTTTCCTACAGCCATTCTTGAGTTTAGGGCTTAGGGCCTCAACTAAAAGCTATGCTGGCTTCAGGGTTGACGTTCTCGTGGCACCGCACTGAAATTCGAGCTTTTCATGGAGACTATGAGAAAGTTTAGGGCTTAGGCTTTGGAATGAGATGTTGGTACCTGCGAGGCCGAAAGTAACGACATTCTAAGCGTCATGTGTTAGTGCTGGGGGTCCTCGTGCACGTTGGTGGTGACCATAATCCCTTCATTAACGAGGGGTATCCGGGTAACCTCTGCAAAGGTTTGGTTAGGAGGGTTGAAGCCAATCTAGAGCCCCAGTACAACTATGTACCTACAAAGTCACACAGTCCTTCTTGTTCTTCTCGAGATTCTGCGCCATCTCATAGGTCACTACCATGTAATCCGAGCACTTCAACAATTTGGAGGGACCGCCCCCCGGCCCCCCCTTGCCAGAATAAGGAATGGAGGGCGCCAGATTAAAAGAATGATTGAGGCTCCTGGAACTCAATTAAAGCAGAATAGGAATGCATTCCTGCGTCATTGGGCTCTTGGACCTCAATTAGTTGTAAATGAATAGGAATGTATTGAATACCTCCATTATCAGGATTGGTTCCCCAGAATTTTATCTAAATCTAGTCCCTTTCCCAATACGAAAAGCCACCTAATTGTAGCTAGTCTTCGGAGCCTAACTTTACCCAAAAAAGATTCTTTAACTATGGTCCCTGTTATTGTTGAAGTGCTCGGATGAGGCAAGAAGATACTTCACGAACAAACCTCCACACGGAAAGTCATTCCCTGAGAAACTGAGAACCTGCACAAAATCCGAAGCCTCGGCACAGTTACACCCTCTTTAGGTACTCGGCCCTTTGAGTGGGTTGTCTAAGTGCAGGCATCATGAGCCCCTCCAAGGGAGAAACAAAAAAAACAGGAGAAAATGCTCCTCGCCAGAGGATTGAAGGCAGCGAGCCGTGACCCTAAATCCAAAACCCTAAATCCTAAACCTTAAACGCCAAACCCTAAACAGGGGTTCGTATAGACCCTGCGACTGCAAAGCGCACTGAGCCCCACACAGAAGCTCCTCCCTTGAAAGAAAGCCATCCTGCTTTCGGGTTCAGGGCTTCAGGGTTTAGGCAAGACTGATGCTTGACAGCCTATTCTCCCTAAACCCTAAACCCTAAATGTTCTGAGCTGCAGTATCAAGGGCCTGAGGGTAGGAATTTCAGGGTTGGAGCCCTAGGTTTGGGGATCCTATAGTAAGGAAGCTTAGGGAACCAATGGGTTCATTTAGGGACTAGATTGGGGCCATATGAGTTATAGTCTAAACTCCGAGCATCCCCCTTAATAACCCCTATAGTCATCCCCTCTATTACAACCCCCTTTAAGGAGTTTAGACTATGGCACATATTGGGGGAAGTTTCTCAGGGTCGCTGCCACCTTGGGAAAGCAACCCTGGAAGCCTTGATACCCCGACCCCTGGGATGATCTAGAAAGTACTACGTGGCGCTCAGGACCCCTTCTAAGGGTTAACCCTTAGGTACCTAGAATAGGAATATAAGGGAACCCCAGAAGGTTAAGGGTCTAAGGTCCAAGCTAAGTCCCAAGGAGAGTAAAACTCCCTACATGGTGCCCTATACTACTCTTGCGGATGCCTAGGAACCTTCAAAGGGGTTCTAGTTTCTAGATCCGCCCTGGAAGCCTTGATAGGAACGGGCCCTATGGACCACGAAGACATCCTCAAGGCATTCCCTTGGAGTTACGACAGCCCTAAACCCCATAAACCCTACAAACCCTAAACTGTAAACCCCAAACCCTAAAGCTCAAACCCTAAAACCCTAAACCCTAAAACCCCAAAACCCTAAACCCCAACCCTACAAACCCTAAACCCCTAAACCCCAAACCCTACAAACCCTAACCCCCTAAACCTTTATCCATGTCAAAGAAGGAACTCATCGGATCTGAGCCGCTTTGAGTTACCGGTGGATGGAGGAAATCTTGCACCACTTGGGGTCCCAAATCTTGCGTACTTCCTAGGGTTTAGGGGTGTAGAGTTTAGGGTTTATAGGGTTTAGGGCGTATAGGGTTTAGGGTATAGAGGCTTGTGCAAGATTTCCTGCTTCCACAAGTAGGATCTGAGCTGCCTGAGGTAGTGAAAGCATTCGCCCTTGTAGTAGCAACCCACTTCTGAAAGTTCAAGCCGCTACCTTTGCAGCCTGGGTTGAGGGTTTGGGCTTAAGGTAGGTTTAGGTAAGGAGGCTTCAAGTCCCAACTACCTTAATCTGAGTTTTGTATTAAACAACACCAGTATCTGGGTACTCGGACCCTTACCGGGAGGGTCAGGGGTACTTAGTAATATACCTATAACCCCTATACGTCCAAAAAAATACAACGATTATCCCCATTATGAACCTACTTACTAAGTCCCCCTGACCCTGCAAGTAGGGTTTTGCATAAAATTCAGAAAAAGAAGAAGTTTCAGCCGTTGAAGTAAGGATGGTGGTATTCTGGGGTTTAGCGTTTAGGGGTTGAGGGATTTAGGGTTTAGGGTCAATATTGGGGTGCCTCTTTGTTAAAACTACCGTATGAATGTATGTAAAAGCTAGCGCAAAAGCAGGATCATCGAATGGATGCAGAATCTCCGGATAGGTACTCTCCGCTGCAGATCATCCTACCAACATGTTCCGGATTCGGAGGATTTCAAGGGCCAAGAAGGGGCCTCTTATTTCAAACCCTCAACCCCCAAACCCCTAAACTCAATGCCATTCCCTGCAAGTAGCGGGGACTCTGCACCTTGAAGCCCGAAACTCAAAAGATTCTTGTCACGAAGCTGAACTTCCATTTAGGATGTTAGGCTTTCGGGTGTAGGGTTTAGGGATGTTAGCATGTGTACACAGACCCTCCTATGTGGTTCCTGTTTTGGGCTGTCTAATGTGGGATCCCTCCCGAAACCCTAAACCCTACACACTGAACCCTAAACCCTAAATGTTAGGATGTTTTGGGTAGTATATTGCAATCCCTTACCAAGAACCTATTAGAAAAGAAAAAAGAACTACTTAGGAGCCTTTGTGTAAAGCTCATGCCTGCCCAACGTCCAGTGTTCGAAATTGCTCGCGAAGCTTTTTGACCTCTGTCTTGCGGGTTCTGGTTTCGGGCTTAGGGTGCTGATAACTGCCAATCATAAGTGCTATATTAGGACCCATAACCTTTCTAATCTCTTGTATAACTGACTTCTAACTGAACTTGTTGTTGAGGGCCCCTCCTAAGAAGGTTTGTGATTTTCTCGCAGTCAAGGCACTGAACACTATAGACCTGAAACGTTTGGGCTTTGGATTGACATACCCTGCCCGCCAAAACTCTAAACCGGAAGCTCCAACCCTAAACCCCAAAGCCTGAAATTGAGGTTTCGGAAGCTGCGGCCCTGCATATGGGGAGCCATCGCGGGAGCTTTGTGTATCCAACCCCCATCAATAGTGGGGTCAGGAGAGGGCATAAATGAAAGTACACCCTGATTTCATGTGGGAGTTTCCAGAAACATGGGGCCCCAATATAGACCCTAAAATACTATAATCCTTATTATAGGGATCCCCAAAAAAAGTACCCCTAATTTTGAGAAACCCCCATGTTCCCCGAGACCCTTTACGACATGGCTGCATTGCGATCACTACTTCAGCTCTTTGCAGAAGCAAACTTCACCGGTCTTGTGTGGTAGGTTTGTACAATAACATCAAGCAGCCTGCTGCGCAGCATGGAGACCTTTTCTCCAAAGGCAAGCCTTTTTTTCTGTGGGGCGACTGGGGCGATGCTACGGATTCTGGGGGGTCCCTGGTAAGGATTTTGACCCTCAACCCTAAACCTTTATTCTGTATGGGCAATGTTTAAAAACATGTGCTCTGAATCCAGGATTTCGGCCTTCCTTGGCGGTTCATACTTCCCTCATGATATTTTGTGGGGAGGGGTACCATTTTGGGGTTCCCCATAATGAGGATTGTAATATATTGGGGGCATCTTGGGGTGCTCCTATTTATGGAAACTACCGTATGAAGCACAATCTATGTTTCTTTCATGGGGCTTGCACATGAGATTTTGATCATCCTCCCATTGTTTTCCATGCTTTGGCTTCGGAATCCAACCTAGCTTTCGTTGCTGATGAGTGGCCTGTCGTTTGCCGTTTGCTTTCAGATCCTCATGTCGCTGTCCATTATAACCCTAGGCGACACGCAAAAAAAAGTGCTCTCCATATCACTACTTCCCTACCATACGAGTGCCCAGAACGCTACCATCCTTGCTATGAGCACCCCGAAAATCTGTAACGTTGATTAAAAAACACGTGGGAAGCCTTGAGCCAAGGTTTTGGGGTTTAGGCTTTAGGGTTTAGGGTCTATGGAACTCTCTATTCCCTTGTAATGCCTACAGCGCCCGTTCCACGCAACGGCAATCTCTTGGGCTCCGGCACGCTCTTCGTCAGCCTAGGAGTTTTGCTTTTGGGTTTAGGGATGACGGGAGATCAAGACCATCTCACGGGTGCTTCATACTTGAAACTCATTATACACCATGAAGATTTTAGCTCCGTGCGTGGAGGTCGGGGACTAGGGGATTACAGGATGGAGCCCTGAGA